AGGAATGCAAGAAGGGAAATTAAGACCAAGTAGCTAAGACCAAGTAGCAACAAATCCCTCTGAAGGAATAAATATACAAAAAATACATTATATCAGATTAGGAAAGGGTTAAATGAAGCTATAAACTTCTTTAGGCTACTAAATGTTAAGTTCAACTTCTGTTTCCTTCGTGATATCAGATTAGGAAAGGGTTAAATAAAGGTATAAGCTTCTTTAGGCTACTGAATGTTAAGTTCAACTTCTGTTTCCTTCAGCAGCCTGCTACCCTGTCCCCAGGGACGTCCCAGCCACAGGGTATGGGTACCCACTGAGCTGTCCCTTAGCAGAGAGCTGTTTCTTAGCATCTCTGCATGTCTTGATGTAACTTCCCCAGTACCTTGCATCTCCAACACCATCCACCTACCACAGTACCAGCAAGCTATGGATTAACATCTCAAGATCTCCAACACTATCCACCTACCACAGCACCAGCAAGCTATGGATTAACATCTCAACCCCCAAATGTCTTCAAAATACAACCTCCTACAATTTCTCTTTCTGGTCTAACCTGATAGGAACCCAAATATCCATTTTTCACTCTAGTATTTTTCCTGTACTACTGCTACCAGCTAATAACTACATCTTCTGGGTATTTCTCCTGGCCATTGCCAGAGACAACCTGAACAAGCACAACCTGTCACTGCCTTTGAATAGGGGCTCCCAATTGACATTAGCTGGAATTATAGCTGTCTGGAAATGACCTTTCAAAAGTCAAACACCTCATTTAAAACAAAACAAAACAAAATATTCCCTGCAAAAAAAAATCCCAAAGCAATTTAAAATGAGACTTGCATATTGGTTTGCCTTCAGGACAAAGCCTTTGCCCAGTGTGAGGGTTTACATGGCTTTTCCCTTCAGATGATCCCATTGAAGAGGCAGCTGATGAAGGTGGCCCTGTTCTTGCAAAGGATGGATCAGAGCATGGATCGGATAGATCTCAGCATGGATGGCTTAATTTTCACCAGATGTCCCTTTTATGGGAGAAGTAGTTGCTAAAAAAAAAAATAATCTCTGACAAGATGCTGGTGGTATTTCCCAGCAGCCAACACTTACCTCTGTGCTGTGCATATATCTCCAGCAGACAGCTGGGATCAATCCACAGAAGGCCAAAGCAAAACAGAAAAATCCCTGAGGATAAAGAGGAAAAATACCATCAGTTACAGCATGGGGAGAAACATACCCATTTGCAAACACCATTGGGACATATTTAATATGCTTGTTTGAGAAAGTTTCATTAAAGTTTAAACATCACCTTCTTTTAATAACTCTTGTAATGCAGGTTACTTACAAGAAGTTAGGTGGACAATAATGTGATTCTCCATCAGAAGCCCTGTAATTACACTGTGGTCAGTTGAAGAGGTTGACCAAACAAGCAGACAGTTAATCTATTCTGCCAAAATTCCTCTTGGAAAAAGAAAAGCAAGGGATAGAAACATTCTATTTACTGTATGCTCCTCTTCTGCAGCAGGACCATGCTCTTAGAATAGTGTCTCTTTACGGGATTCAATCTTCTGCATTTAAAACTTGGCTATTGGCTTCAAAGAGGGGAAAACCCACACAAATAGTCCATAAAGAAGTGAGTAACCACAATGGAGAGCAACCTGCTCTGGAAGAGGAGCTGGACTTGACTCTGTAAGCAAGGTGGCAGCTGCATGGCCAAGCTGCATTCCTTAAATCAGCACCATCCTAGTTAGACAACAGGACGACAGAAATATAATCAAGGCCAGCAACAGACTCTGAAGTGTCTAAACAATAATGGCAACGACGCAGGAGGTGGCTTGACTTTTGTCTTCTTCCCTAGGCTTGCAGAGCTGGAAGTTACATACTTTGTCCCTTTATTTGAACAAACCTTGTCAGAAAAAACCCCAACCCCAAAACCATGATGTAAACAGCTCTTGCCTGCTGTGACAGCTGGACTAAAAGATCTTGTTCACATTAAAAACAAACAAAAAAATTAAAAAAGGAAGGAAAAAAGTGTCTGTACAGTGTTTGAAGGCCAAATGGGCTTATCAAATGTGAATCCACGGCTTAGTCTTGGAATGACAAAAGATGATTAATAAGCACCAGTCAAAAATGAATGCCCTCACAAGGTTTTCTGTGAAACTGTGCCTCTTCCAACACAACATTATGTAGCAGAGGAAAATTACAGAGCTGACTATACCTTATTGTGATTTCTAATTTTTTCTATGTCTGTTTTCATAGTATGATACAGGCGAAATCACTTTAAAAAGATTACATTTTTCATTAAATTGTACCAAATTCAAGCTTAAGGAGAGAAACAAGAGCATTGCCTCTCCTAATTTTGCTTCACAAAAAAAAAAGCTTTCACTTAAAAGGTATAGTTTAAAAAAAAGAAGCTTCCAACTCCTCCATATGTATCAAGAAAGGAAAATGTGTTACTTCAAATCCTGGAAATGAAAGTGAACATGCCAATAAACTGCCTTTTGCTGGCTCTTGTCCATCTGCTGCCTGCTGTGTTTCTCTGTCCTGTCCGGTGGCTTCGCTCCTGGAACAAGACTGCCGTTGGTGTCTTGCCACTTTTGTGGGGCTGCCTTGTTTCAGACTCTGCCCTAGATGTTGGGGGAAACCCTGGTATGACTCTTACAAAAAAATCTTACAGTATGTATGTCCAGTCTCTCCTTTCTTCTCCTTCTATTTTGGCAGCTGCCTCGCTGTATAGCTGATGAAATCACTCACTGCCTAGCTAGGAGCTGAAATGGGATTACAGAAGACCCTAAAGGAGATGAGAGGAAAGTGATCAAACTCTGACATGACAACGGGGACACAAGTAGTGAAGATGTGGAAGAGCTTGCAGGGCAAGATGTCACAGACCAAAACACGGCTGGAGTGGGGGATTTAATCACTGCAGGTACAGCACAAACCAGAGGGAGGAGGTGAGGTTACACAAGCATTTCAGGTTGCTCCTTGCTAGGGCCAGACCCTGCATTTTGCACTTCCCCCAACTTCCCCACCAAACAAACAGCATAACAAACTCAATTTTTTTACCAAAACAAGGTTCAAAGACAAGAAAAAAAGAAAATTATGTCAGTGAAAAAATCAGCACTGATAGCAATGTGAATGCTCTTCTGCCCATTGTCCCAGTAAGGATTTAATTGAGAGGATGAACAATGAATCTAGAGAGTGCAAACAGCAGTACCAGTGGCACCACCCAGATTTCTCTCCCCGTGCTCTCCCTTCCTTCCCCCACCAGCTCCAGCACTTACAACATCTCACTGGGGCCAGAACCCCCAGTAGACTGAAATCCTCCTTCTCATCTTCCCTTCCTCAGCTCCACCCCACATTTCAGTCCTTCACATTCAGCATCAGCTCTCCCTTTATTTCTGCTAGCTTCTCTGGGAATACCAAGAGGCAGCCCCTCGGGAAGCTACCCCTCCATCCATCCAGTGCACAGCAATTACATGGCTCCGAGAACATCTTATAAATGAATTATAGTCTGCTTTTTCCCTTCCCAGCCAAAAGGCTTTTGGAAGAACAACTTTATAATTACATTAGAAGACATTTGGAGGAAAAAAGAAAAAGACAATGTGCAGTTTGCATACAAAATGTGGAAGGGTCGAGGCTAGTTCACCATCTCCCAGACCCTTGGAACTCCTTGGAGCCAGCCACAGGCTGCTGCCTGCTCCTGGCTGCTGCTTTGTGGGAGACAGCCACATCAGCCCCGTGGAGGGCTGTCACCAGCCAGACATCAATTACTCTTTTATGAATGACCTTGTTTCCATCCTTGCTGCAAGGAACAATTTATCTTTGACAGACTTGGCAGAATCCGCAGAAACAGCATCCTGCCTGTTGGCCAGTGTTTCTTTTAATCCACCTTTCTGATGCTTCCCCTTTGGTTAAGGGGATCTGCTTCAGACAAGGGAGGGATCCTTTAGCTCAGGCTGGGTTTGGCAGCTCTGCCAAACTCCCACACTCCCAGGGAAGGAGCTGACCTCTGACCTGCTCAGCTCCAGCCGATTTTTGGTGCTGCTGTGGCCATTGCAAGGGCCAGCTCCCTGCCAGACTGCACAGCCCGGGGCAGGGAAAGGGGGAGCTAATTTCAGATTGCATCCATCAGGTTGCATCCCTCCTTTCCTGACCCAGTTCATCTAAAAGCACAGGATGTTTTTGCCTTTCCACATAGCAAACACAAGCCAGTGATCTCAGTCTGAAAGATGAATCTGTCCTCAGCACCAGCTGAGCACTTTGGCTCTGCCACTGGCACACAAATGCCTGACTCAGAAGTGTCTCACCATAGGGAAGAGCATGGGAGGCAGATTAATTGTGAAAGAAAGATGCTGAAGTGCACTGCAGTGATATTAAGGACCCTCTACACGCTTGCCTACAATGATACACCTGGGAGCAGTAAAGCAAACAGCCTGTGCTGTGTGCTGGCCCTACTGACACATCACTTGATGGAAAACTGGGTTATATCAGGCACTCACTAAGGCTTTTTTACCACAGAATTTTTTTTGGAACTGATGTTTGGAGCAGATGCTCCATCCTGAACACAAATTTTGCTTTAAACAAGTGGTTTTTTAGGCTGTAAATTTCAGCTGTAGGAATTTCAGCTGGGATATTATGGTTGGTATGTTGATCCCTGCTTTTTTAAACTTCCCTTTCTCTATCTGACCAGGTAACAACACAATGCCTTAAACCTCCCTGGAGCCAGTGTCTTTCATTTGTAGAAGCAGTATTAGGAAAACTGCAATTTTCCTTCCTTCTCCTCCCCTTTAATAGAGACATGGCCTCCAGGGGCTGTGAGAGCTGCAGGATATTTACATTCAGGATCGACTGCATGATGGACCATGGATCACCAGAAAACAGGGTTGGCCTGAGCTGGAGAACAGTCAATAAACCTGTTGCTATTCTCCCTGATTAAGAGGAGCTTCAGGGATGATATTGCTGGATTTAGAACAAAGTTTTTTATCCTTAAGTTCTCAGCTGCTTTCTAGAAACCAGCTTCCTCACAAGCATCAATGGATGCACAGTAGTGTCTTTCTGGTCTGGTAATGCTGCTAATGCAGCTACAAGACAATTTCTTGAGATATGTGTGCTTAAACCAGTTTGACTTGTTCTGGTTTTTAACCACTGTGCACCCATTACTGTTATCAGAACAGCACCAGTAAGGTCTGCAAAGACCTGAGACCCCTCCTCTGTATACACACAAATCTCCAGATGTAGCCAGGCAGCATGAGCATTTATAATTTAAATAGACAATAAACATGCTCCTCTAAACCCACCTACATCCTGGTTAGCTTTTCCCCAGGGTGGCTGGTTTACCAAGTAGCATTGTGGTGGATTAGCCACATCGATGCAGACATCCCTGAGTGTGGCTTGGTTTCCTGTACAGCCACAGATGTCAGGCCAATAGTCTGGTGTCTTCCCTCTTTGATTAAAGAGTGAATTAAGTGGTCTTCTAAACAAGACACACTCTTTGCAGGGAGGAAAAGTCCTTTAAAATCAATAGTGGGAGGAGGGGGTGAAAGATCCTCTCTACTGTACAAGGAGGAAAAAATTTAAAAGCAGGGGAGCTGGTCCACTACTGCAAACCACAGCCCAGCAGAGATCTGCAGGGAGCAGCAGTGATGGCTGAGACACTGACAAGAATTTTTGGGGGCCCACAGGGCTGAACCCCACTCCTGTCTGCGAATACACCTCACTGCAGCCATCAGGGCTAGCCCTCCCTGCATTGGTTTCTTGCTGGCAGATCAGAGATTAAGTGTGTGCCTTGGGAGGCAGGAGGAACTGGGTGGAAAACAAGACACAGGCTGCCCTTGCTGTAAGATACAGTCAGAACGAGTGGGGGCAATTTATAGGACTAGGCAAAGCCTCCTTGTGTGATTTAAGATGCTGATGAGCTGCTTAAACGAATCGGAGCGGAGAATAAGGTTGATGGTGGTCATCCTTTGGCTATTTCCCAGGGGTTTGTGAGGGGTGGGGCAGTGCCACCACCGCGCAGGAGTTAGGGGTTTGCTGCTGCTGCCGGTGCACTCCGCAGCATCTCCCGCTGGAGCGGCTGGGGGGGGGGC